AGAGGTAAATAGATTAAAAGAGGTAAAAGAAATAGAAAATTATATTTCTGTGTAACATTTTAAAAACAAGTTGCAGGAGAATATTAATACAAATAAAGTAGATAGAATTGTGCAAAAGCTGCAATAGATGAAACATCCCTGAGACCAACATTGTTTCTATGCTGCCTTTAAATGCTCAAAGGTTAAGAGGCGTTCAGTAAAAGTTTTATAATTGGTATATTCTCATGCTTCTTTCTTAGGTTTTGGTGGAGCTGCACCATCCATGAACTTCTCCACGAGAACAACAGAAACATCCATCAATGGACGCTCACCCTCAGATCTAACGGATGAGGAAATAGACAGTCTACGCTTTGAACTTGCAAAGGTGACAACGCTCTTCAGGGGTAGTTATCAAAGTGTGAAATCCGGCAATGAAAAAGTAAATACACAAAAATCCTCCGTTCATTTCTATACGTCTTCTGATAAAAGTTTTTTTTGTGTTTTCCCCCTCACATAGACGGAGGATGAAATTCAGACTTTGCGGCAGGTGCTTTTGGCCAAAGAAAAATATGCCACAGACGTGAGGAGGCAGCTGGGTTTGAGTCCCCTCAGTAACATCAAACAAAACCTGTCCAAAGGCTGGCAGGAGGTCCAAACGTCCTCCCCGTGAGTGCATCTGCATCCTCACAAACATTGCATGTTCACGTTGGTACTTAATGCAACACAACACTTCCTGATGCTTAAGCAGACCATCACGCAGCTTGCATGCATCTGAAACACCCCACCCCTGCACCGGCAAAACATTTGGCACACATTGTCGTAGTGTGACACGGTTACATAACCAAGAACAGCACGCTCTTAAGTCGGGGTAATGATCCACTAACTTGTGCGTGTTCTTTTCTTGTTTCAGATATCTCACCGCCTCCGCCACTCTGGATGACATCAGCCACTCCAGCGCGTGAGTGTTGGTCATCATGACTAGATCACATACTTTAAAAATAACATTTGTACTTTAAATCATGTTGCAGGTGTTTCCCTACGTTTGTCCTGTGCTCATGTGCTAAACCGGGATCTATTCTGAGAAACAAGTGATGGGATTGTCCAGATCAAATAGGATCGGTGCCTCGTTAATAGTCTTACAGCCGGACTTAGCACAAGGAGCAGCAGCATCAACAGGACTAACGTGAAGCGTTTGTTTGAATCAGAGTGGGACCAGAGCCACTGACGTACATGAGCTTTTTTGTCACTGTCTCATTTCCTTTGTGTCGTTTATATTCACTCTCATGTTTGCAAAGCATCAGTGTGTTACGTCTTCTCTCCACCTGCAGGTATGTGAGGACACGGGACAGTCTCTCTCAAGCAGGACATGTGACGACCTCTGTGCTGTCCAATATGGGCGTGGCCATCACCAGGAGACTGGCAGAGATGAGGTAACCTCAGAACTGCCTGAACTCCTCTTTCCTTACTCCTGTTTCTCTACGGAGGTAACGTGTAATGCCCCAAAATATTTTACCTCATTTATATGCAAATATCTGCAGCAAGGCAAATTTATCAGATCAACTCTTTCTGATGTGGTAAATGTGGAGTGTGCATGAAGTTTCTGCTTGTCCGTGAGTAAATGTGTTCACAAGAGAAATCTATTTCCTCCTAATTAATCCAATCGACTCATTTATCAGCAAAGGGTTTTCGTGCCAACCTGTTTCTCTCTGTGTGCTACATGATATCAATAATTAGCTGAAAGTGTTAACAAGGTACAACAGCTTCAGGGAAATCTGTGTTCCTGCATCCATATGCAAATTTATGTAGCCAGGTGCTCGAAAAAATCTAATCAGATCATCTCCCCTGTGTGACGTGCCTGGAGTGTAAATATGAAGTTTAGTGTCGGGAGAAAGATTAAAGAGTCACAGACAAAAGCTTAACGATTGAGAAATGCTCCGAAGTGAATCATAACAAACCAAAACGAGACGTTAGCTTTAAATGGTAGTGTCTGTGACTTTTTTCACTATGTTACTAATGACATTAACAATGTCGGTTGTTTTGTTACTGACAAATTAGGTTTTAGGTTTTGGTGAAAGGATTTTGGTTTAGGTGTTATGGAATCCATTAAACTTTTGAGGCAGATCAAGGAATTTATCTTCACGTTCTTCATTATTGAGAGATGCAGCATTCTTCAATATTTTCTCCTTATATTGCATGAAATCATTTTTAAGTGATTCCCTCAACTTTCTCACATTTCTGCCCTTGAGGCCTCAGAGGGGGTAAAATGATTAAACTCTTCAAACTAAACTGACCTCAACATAATTGTTCTGTGAAGTTTCAGTATTTTAACCTCTCAGAGTTGGAAGGTGTCCTGTGTTGTTTGTTCGAGCAGTAATCAGCCTGTTTTCTAATCGCACCAGCACATCTGGACATCAGCAGCAGAAGCCGTTAAATCTGTTGTTGTTGTTCTCGTGCTTGTGGAAACAGAAGCTGGTGTGACGTTATTTGTGTGTCTGTCTTTATCTTCACGCTGCAAACTCAACAGAGCTCTGCCTCTCCCGAGTCCGCCACGGTAAGACACGTCTGTTCGTAACGACGCTAAATCCAACTTGAAGCTGAGCCGTCTGAAGTGTGTGTGTGTGTGAACCAGAAAATAAAACATGGAGCAGGATAAAGAGAATCTGAAGTGAATCTTTTCTCTGAACAACTTCAGTTTGTGTTGTCATACAGTTGTGTTAATAAATGTACAGTAGTCAGAAAGAAGAGCTGAAATAATAAGTGAGTGAAAGAAAACTAAGGTAAAGAACTTTGATAACTGATTTCTTTTATCAATTCCAGACATTTACACATTTTTTTCAAATAATGTATTGAAGAGTTATAAGTTCCAGCTTTAAACCTTAAATTATGATTATTATTATGATTATTATTATTATTATTGTCTATGTACATCTATTCAAGCCCTGAAGATATTATTATATTTGAGTATATCAGATATTATTATGATTGTTATTGTTCAACAAACAATGCACAAATACAAACAATACATAATATTAAAAACAATCAAACACCTTCCGAGGAAATTAAAAATCACCTTAACACAGCACCAGCTACATTCATAATTATGAAAGTTGTCTGTTGAGCTCAAATCACTGGTTCTGTATTGTTTATAGAGTCTCACTTTTTTTAATTGTTGATTGTCAACCTTGTTTTTCCTTCTCTCTTCTTTCACGTAGAAACCTGAGCCACACCATCAGTGTCCCGACCATGAGGTAAAACACTGTGACTGCTTGTCCCCGCGTTTCCTTTCATTACTGTTACATGCTGTCAAACCATCAAGAAGTGTACTGTCTAATTGGTCTTTATATATTTCTCTGCAGACACTCTTCTACTTTCAAGTCCTTCGAGGAAATGGTCGGCAGTGTGAAGGTGAGTTTAATTAAAGCAGCAGCAGGCAACAAAGTTTTCTTTCCGTGTGAGTATTGATGTGTTGTTTTGTGTCTGAATCCCACAGGACAAGGTGACGAATAACGGAGACAATTCCGGGTTTGAAAGAAGATCCTCACGCCACAACACATGAGAAACACACCACAGTTCATTATTTTTCATACCTTCAAGAAAACATTTTATTTTACCTTCTCGTCCGTGTTTAAATTGTCTGCTGTTATTTCTCAGTCTGGATTAACACACAATGACAGATAGAATGGATTAAATTTGTAATGTCACCTTGTTTTAACCTCAAACATCAAAATAATATTTGAATAGGTTTTTAATAGGTTTCAAAAATGCATTTTTGTGTATTTTGAGATTTAAGTCCAGTAAACCAATATTCTGAAGTATCTGCAATATGCACCCACTGACATCAGTTGACATGTAATTAAATACAAGTATTTTTGTACTTGATTTTTAGTTAAAGTACATTGGATGGTATGTGTGTGTGTGTGTGTGTGTTTTTTGTATTTAATGGTCTTAAGTATAATTTATGAATCGATTATTATTCCTGAATTCCTCCAGTGTCTCTGGTAAAGTGTGTTGATGAAATCAGTCGCAGATATTCGAGCCATTAGCGTGGTGGAAATTAAGAAACGTGCAAATAGAAAAAAACACACGTGCAAATTAAGAGAACAACAATTTAACAACAAATTGTGAAGAAGAAATGTTTCCAGGGGACCCAATGAAGTGATGAGCCTGACTGTCGTTCAATGCTTCGTGAAGTTTCATCACCACTGACGTGAAGTCAGGTTCAATAACAGGTTCATCACTTTTTTTGATGTCCCCTGGAACAGATAAAGTTGTTTTCTTAATTTGCAGTGAGTTGAGCTCGGACACAGAACGTTAGGGGGCGCTAGCGACGTCTTGATGAATCTGGACTGGTTTTGACTGTGTCGTGAATAAAACCCAGAGATCATGTTTCTACCATAGACTTTACATAAAGAGGTTTCTACATGAGAGAAGGCGAAGTTCTGATCCTAAACCTGAAAACATAAAGAACTAAAGGAGACAAAACAGAGTTCCCTGACCGGGAATCGAACCCGGGCCGCGGCGGTGAGAGCGCCGAATCCTAACCACTAGACCACCAGGGAAGGATGTGCAAAGAGAAATCTGAGTTGAATTCAAACTCTCTAATTACAGTTGAGAGAAGAAGAGGGGGCAACATGTGAAATGTCTCTTGTACGTCTTCTGCACAATTAAGTCACCAACCATGTAAAAACGAACTTGTCAGTAATAAAACATTGTGAAAAGAGATCATGTCTGATTGTTCCTCTTTCATTCAGTGTTTCATGAAGAAGCTAAAGATTTAACAGACACTAACAAGCTAATGTCTCTTTTTGGTTTTACACATGATGAACGTTCGCTCTCAAGTTTAACAACACAGTGTAAAAGAGAAATCGTCATCGTGGACCATCATGTGAAATACAGGGGAGAGAGGAAATGTGTGTGTGGCCCCGGGGCCCCGTGAGATGAGAGGAGTTCATGTCCACTAAGTGACTTTGTTGAAGGACAGTGTCTCTGTGTCCTCCTCGTCTCTGACACACTCATCAGTTGTCAGGACCTGATCGGGACATGAAGTAACTTGGTGTTTGTTTGATTCCAGAGTTTATGAAGCTGCGTTTAAACCTGATTCAAAGTGAATACTGATTTTGTGAACTGGCTCAGCACTGGACTGTAGAATGTAGGTGACAGGTCAACGTGACTCATGTTGTTACCAAAATAACCTGAATCTAAACTCTGACCTGAAACGTGGGTCTCCAATAATACTGCCACGTGATGGTGGTGTTCTTCAGAGGGTGAGCTAAAGCCTTCTTTTTATCAACATGTTCTATGTCTGTTCTATATGTTGTCTATGTGTGTTCTATGTCTGTTCTGTCTGTTCTATATGTGTTATATGTGTGTTCTATCTGTTCTATACGTGTTCTATACATGTTCTATGTCTATTCTACCTGTGTTCTATGTGTTCTATGTGTGTTCTGTCTGTTCTATATGTGTTCTATATGTTGTCTATCTCTGTTCTGTGTGTTCAATGTGTTCTATACATGTTCTATGTCTGTTCTACGTGTTCTATGTGTGTTCTGTTCAGTACACCACAGCACGTTCTGATTCCTAGGGCTGCCACAGGCCACACCCCCTGTTCAGTTGCTATTAAAGCGTCTCCGCAGTCTGAGCTGAGTCAGTGACACCAGCAGCTTGTTGACCAGCAGCTTGTTGACGGCTCCTCTCACAGAATTCATCCACAGATGAGACTCAGCCACGACCTGCAGCTTTTTCTTCATTCAAGCTCCCGAGAACCTGGTTCCATCAGCAGCATCTCACAGGTAAGAGAGAAACACTGTCACACACTCATTTCAACTCTCTGGTCTCGTTCGCCCTCGTCTGTTCTGCCTGTGGGTTGAATATGACAACTTCACTGGAAACACTTCAGTGCCTCAGGTTCATGTTCCTCACATTGGTGTCACAGCAGCTGAACGCAGAGGAAGTGTCTGCATCAGTGTTGTTTGTGTGTCAGTTACAGAATATTTGAAAGGTCACACATTCACAAACTCCGACACACAAACTTCTAGGAGCTCATACATTTTATTCTAAGGTCTAATTCTCCTTCTGGCCACAGTGTGAGATGTTTGTGTTTATCTGGGCTGTGAAGTGCTTCTTGAAATCCTCTAACCCATCTGCTGTTCACCTGGAGTTAAGCTTTACAGCCTCCGACTGGTTCTCAGGCTCCGAACACACTCCACTTTCAAGTGGCTGATATGAAACCTGCACAAACACCAATCAGAAATTCGATTTGCTGCACTTTCAGTACAATTTCTTAGAATTTCAGAACTTATTTTTGGAAGACATGTGGAATATGAAATGCTGCACAAACACAAATACTATTTTTTTTGCGTTTGGCTCTGAACTCTGCCGTCTACAGTTTCCGCCTGTTTGTCCCCCTGTTTGACTCTGTCACGGAGCCAACTCATGCACCATCTTATCTGAGTTTAGCTGGACAAGTGGTCACGTTCCCACACACGCACACTCGCACACACACACGGTCCAGTTATTTGAGCCATGGGAAACAAGATTCCCAGAGGCAGCTGTCTCCACTTTGTCACTCCGCTGAAGGAATGGAGGCAGCTTCCCTGAAATGCACCCTGAGTGACATGTACTTCTGTCAGTGCAGATGTGCTTCCTCATGTCTCAACAGGCCAAACACAGGGTGCATGCAACTCCTTTTGAAATAACATGGAAAAGAAAGGAAATGGAATAACATCATCCTTTTTCCTTCTCTTTTAGATCCATTCAAATAATCTACCTCTGCCATTTATTTCCCCTTGTCTCTTGTGCAGGTCACCATTTTCCAACTTTGAGCGGTTTCCACCTGAGGTCGGAGAAAATGGCAGCAATTCCATCAACCGGCTCTCTCATCGCCACCCATGATTACTACAGAAGTGAGTCAGACCTGTCTGCATTTATATTGTATTAATTCGAGTGGATGGTAATAATACCAGATGCCTTGTTTGGGTGGTTGTGTTCTTTTCCTGTTTATGTCTTTGATAAGATTTCCTTGAGTTTATCATCTATTGTGTTGTCGCAGGACGGATCGGCTCCACGTCCAGCAACAGCTCCTGTGGCAGTGCTGAGCACACGGGAGAGGTCATCCCACACCACCCAGGTACGGGAGAGGAGGACGTTTCATTTTAAGTGTGAAAACGTGGCGAAAAAAACAACATCCTAAAATAAATCTATGTTGTTCCCTTCAGGACTTCCAAGGCAAGACTCTGGCCACTGGTGGACTTCGTTTTTCTTTGCAAAGCAGAACCAGCCCGGCATGCAGAACGGATCTGAGAGTCAAAAGTGAGTGAACGACCACACTTTCTGTCTTTCTGTTTGTTTTGGTTTTGTGGGTTAAACTTTGAATCTTTCTCCGTGTTGCAGGAACAGAACCTACACAGTGGCTGACGGTCAGGTGACCTGCATCGCCAGGGAGATGGTTCTGAACAGACAACTCAGCGAAAGCAGTGAAAACGGAAAGTCTGAGTCAACGACTCCAACTTCCTCCTAGACTCCATTTTCCCACCCTGTGACCTCCGACCCCTCGTTTCCTTCACCCTCAGCGTTCCACCACATAGTCCAGAGCTGGAGATGATGCTGGCGATGATGAGGGTGTTTTTTTCTCTATTAAATAGAACTTATTTTTGCTTTTTGCCTCCGTATAGTATGTCTATGTTTTAATATGACCAAAAAAACAACTAAAGTGTATAAAAAGTTTATATTTCATTTTATTCCTCTCGTATCTTGACACTGTTGACAATGATAAATAAAATGCTTGACGTCAGGACTCGTGTTGGGTTTTATTGTTTCTTTATAACCGTAATAAACTTTACTACTGACTGTTTATGTAACAGCAGAGCAGCTGTTTCTTAACTATGAGAGCACATCCACCTTACTTAGGAAACACACCTAAGCTGATTAGCTGTGATATGATCAGCAGTGATTCATTCGGTTGACACATCACCTTCTCTCCAATGTGGGTCAACAGCTCCTGGAAAATAATCTGACTCATCCATATGGTTATTCGGTTCGTGGTTGTAGCCAAATGTCTCGTTCTACAAATTTAGAAACAACCGCCACAGTTAGCTGACCTTAACATGCCTTCCAAAAATAGTTTAGCACGGACCTGCTGCCAGTATATACTGTATGTGCACAGCATAAAAAAGAACCTGGACACTCCTTGCTATAAATCTTATCTATAAAAATATGTTTTGCAGCAGATTGTTTTCAAAGATTCAAGTTGTGCAAAGTCAACTTTTAAAGCTTCCCTGGAGTCTCTGTGTTTTTACTTCAGATGCAACATGGTGTGTTCACAGTTGTTGGACTGACAGAGAATTCTTACTACTTGTTTTTTCTAATGAAAGTTGGAATCTTAGGTCTAAGGCCCTGGTTTGTTGTTTGAAAATAATAATTATATATATATCATTTCATATTGTATAATTTGATTTTACATTACTTTAATGTATAATGTTCAGTTCAAAAATGTGCACATAACAAGTGCTTCAGAGTTTAAAGCTCTCCCCTGGAATCTGGGTGTTTTTCTTTATATGCAAAATGTTGTTTTCACAGTTTTTGGGCTGAACACTGTGCTAAGAATAACATTAATATACACGATAAACATATATGAATTTCAAGCATTGAATTATATTACATTCCAGGAATACATTTCTTATGTTGCTGCCCAGTATACACATTAAAAAATGTACTTTCACAGTAAATCAAAATGTCAGTGAGTAGAATAACTACTAATCCACTCACATGCATGCTCATTCAAGGACTGTTGATGTTTCATGTGTAAATATGGAAAAAATAATGTCACAGTGGTAGAACTGGGACAGATTTCCTGTAGAACTGCATTTCTTGGATCATTTTCATTCTTGAGCTTAAAATATCCAGATCTTTCTGCAGTAACTGTCAGAAAGATCACTGAACTCACTGATTATCTAATTCGACTGTTCTGTGAAATAACCTGCAGGGAACATTTTGTAATGTGCAAACACTGACATCTAAGAATAGACCGAACAAAGTCTGCGTTCAGTTCAGTCCGGCTGTAAAAGTCAGTGGGACAAAAGTCAAACCTCTCCAGTCTTCTGTGCTTGGAAAACATTCAGTGCCAAATACTGGGACAGATATTTTGGTGCTTACGGGGCCAGATTCAAGGTTTGTATTTCCCTAATACCTTCGGCTTCTCTATTTGAAAAATGTCGGCTCTGTCCTCCCCGTCCTCCAGAGCTGCACTATTTCTGGCAACGTATTTGAGAGGCGCTAGGGTCTAAAAATGTCCTGTGATCCCGGCCAAGTACCAATGATCCGACACTGACACGGGAGTTTCCCTTCATGCAGATCATGAGGGGCCCTCAGGTTGTCTCAGTGCAAACTTGTCAGGATGCAATCGAGGACATGAGAACGCATTTTTGCAAGAAACTGTTTTCTTTAAATATGCTTTTGTGCTTCACGTGTTTTTTTTTTGGTTTTATTGGACGTGTTTTGACGTTTTGAATCATCGGTTGGTTTATTAATATGAAGCCCAGTGAAAACAGTAACAGCAGTAGTGCAGGGATCATTGTGGGTGATGATGAGATGCCTCCTCTCACCTCCTCATTTAAACTGCTCCCATCTGGACAACGACTATTTCCCTCTGTTAACAAAGAACAAATTGTCCAGTTTGTGTTAGTTATGTCTACTTATGTGTGTTGTTATGTTTGTGTGTGAAACAATGTCCTGGGATTGTTGAGACAAAACAGTTTCCCTTCATGGACAAATTAAAAAAAAATCGATCAATCCCTAGAATATTTATTTTTGAAACAATCCAGCCTGGATGGAAATGAAAACGAACAAAAACATGAATGAGCTCTGAAGTCAAATTCCAACATATTGGTGCTATTTTCCAAAAATTAAAATATGTATTTTAAAAAAGGCAACTAAGATCTACTGCAGAGAAAGATCTTCAACCTGCTGCAGCTCAGGTCAACACGGTGCACCAAGTGTTCATGCTGTTTGCAGGCGGTCGGATGTTGTCTGGTTTTAGTTCTGTATTTGATCAGCAGCATGAGCAGACGTGGAACCCTGAGCTTGTGTGGGCCCACGTGACACCGAGCGACTCTCAGTGTCAACACACAGTCCCTGCGTGATCTATTGCAAACAGGACACTGTTGTTTACGAGGTGTTCTGTGTGAGTCATGTTGGAGTTTCACAAAGAAATACCCGGAAAAGAGATTTCCAGTGAATCTGAACTGAATGTTTGCATGGGTGATTGTGTGAGTGGTTTTATCACATGGTGCAGATTTCGATTCATATTCATATTTCAGGGAATGTGCAAAGAGAATCTATCTCATGTAAAAAGTTGCATAAAATCAGGTTAAACTAATTTACAGCTGCAGGTTAGTAAGAAATCAGGAGAAGAACATGTAGAGAACAGTAGAGAACTCTGATGAAAAGTAATAAACTGCAGAGAATTAATTCTATGTGTTAAAATAAAACAGGAATTATTCATTTAAACGTAATTATTACATTTACTGTAGAACCGGACCCCTCAAACAACCAAAGACGGTGGAAAGTACCAAATCACATTGACTCGAGTGCTGTAAGTATAAATCTGAGGTACTTATATATTTTATTTCCTTTTCAGGCTCCTTTCCGAGAAAAATATTTCACTTCACTCCACTACATTTTCCTGAAGGCTGTAGTTACTCACATACTTCTAAAGTCAATCAGCTTGTTTCAACATTTTTCTAAATTACTCACCGCAATAAAAACCTGTTTAAAATATCCTGATGTCTAAACTTTTAATGGCTTAATATGTATAAATATAGAGTAAACTCCTTTGGACTATTGTTCAGGTTATGAACTAACCCTAACTCTGCTCTGTAGCTCTGCTGCTCTCTTGTGGACACTAAAGATACAGTAAAAATGTGAGGATCCGCATGTGTTTGACTGATGTTTGCAGACGTGGAAACAATGACAGCACACAGGAAGTTTGAGTCTGATAGCTCATCGCACTATTTTATTCATTGACTGACATCTCAGGAGAAGAGGAGAGCCTTGAAACTCTGCTGTTGGTAAACCACTGGTGTATTTTTTTGTCATAGCGTCGATGCAACACTGAAAAAAGCGTCATTTCCAAACAAACACGAGTCCCTCATTAGTGATATGTAAGAGGCAGAGAGTCTCACCTCGACAGGTTTGCATGAAACATACAAATGAAACAGGTTCAACCTTTTCTTTTGTCTTTTTGTAGTTTCACATATAATAATAAATATTCATACCTATAAACACTCCAAAAGAAAAATCAAAAATCAAAATATTAAGTCACAGGTACTGGAAAAAGCTCCACTTTTAAATCACAATGATAAATGTACAAAACAATAGACATCTCATATAAATGTTAATGGTTTTCGTGAGAGACTTAAATCTCATTTCAGAAGAAATCAGAGGATAAAAACTAAACTTGGAGATTCAGTATTTCCTGAGGTTTATGGGTTCCCCTTAAAAGGCCAGAAGAGGGGAATGGCTTTCATGTTATCAAGGAGATCTTACAACAGGTCAAAGTGTACCTATCAGGGTATCAGGTTAAGGACAAGGAGTTTCCCCGACAACTCGGCCAGGATATTAAAAGATTACGAGCACTTAATGTAGAATAATAAATGAACCTACACCCACCGCTCTCCGCCTAGGCCACGATAGTATTTTAAAACAGCTGATTTAAGTCCTCTTGATCCTTAATAAATCATTTCTGGTCCACTTTGAGAAGTTGTGACGTTCCCTTTGTTTTTTTTTCTTTACTTAAGATTAAAATGCTGGAAGCCACCACAACAGCGAGCCGACCACGTCACGGCACACAGACCGTGTGACCAAGTCCTCAAAGAGGTCACGTCTGCACTTGATGCAATGAAACAACAGAAAAAAGGAAAATATCTGGGCAAATGTACACAGATTAGGGGAATAGGTGAAGGGAGGGAGGGGGAGGGAGGGGGAGACAGCCTGAATAAGACGCAAAAAAGAAAAGTATTTTTAAAAACTGTACATGTAAACATCACACTTTCACTGAGTCCAAAACCAGAGGGGAAAATACAAAGCTTCACACAGGTTTACAGTACGACCCCCTGCACAGAGCTACAGTCTCTCATCAGTGCACGAAGGGCAACAATTCAAATGATATAAATAACAATAGAAGAAATACAGACCACCACCAAATTAAAAGTTAAAACAGGCAAGGGCTAAAACCACTTTGATATTTTTTAAACAGTGCTGTACCCACAGAGAAAAGAAAGGTTTAAAACATCTGTTATCACTCTTTGTACAGCTATACAGTACATTTATCTGACCACTTTAGCAATCCACAAGCTACCAGGGCATTTTAATCAACACCAATAGATTACATTGTCCAGTCAATACAAAGAGAAAATCCATTGGGCATTTATTAGAAGAAGAAGAAGAAGAAACGAAAAAACAACGACAACAACAACGTGACAACGAGCGTTTGTTGTTGATCACAGTAACTCCACCAAACAGCTAAAATGTTGCTCAGCGTTGACTTTTAAGACGGAATACGAATCTGCAAGCAAATTTCAGTTTGTGAACGAATGGGACGAGATTCAGTGGCATCACTGAAAAGTGAAGTGAAGCGGGTCTGCGGCGGCTACGGTCACGAACGAGCAGGTTGGAGGAGACGAGGAAGACGTGACGTGTGAGGACTCGGGTCCCACGAACATCTATAATTACGTCCGTTTGAGTCCGGAGGGGGGGTGTTTCGTAAAAATCTGATTCGGTGATATTCTGCTTCATAAAGGAGGTTTTAAATCAGTCTGACCAGGAGCTTCAGGTTCTCTGTGTTTACAGGACTGAAACAAGGGTTCTCTATGATGTTCTGGACACATCAAGTCTTCAGCATGGGATGCACTTGAATGCATAGTTTAAAACCTGAGCTCACATCCTGCAACTAAAGTAAAGTTGATGAATAACTCTCGTCTCAGAGGAAGAAACTTTTTTTACTCAATAAAATTAAACCTGCAATTAGAAATACAGACTCTCTAATTGCAAGGACGTGATGTGGCTCAGGGAAGAACCCAGATCTTTAACACTGAGTCAGAGAATAATTTGTTTAAGGGACTAATATTTATTTTAGTTTGGTGCAGATGCAATAAATAAATCCAGATCTAGATTTTAAATCATGACTTCGTGACGGCCGTCTTCTGAGTGACCTTCTCGTTTCTTGACGGCTAAGATCTGTGTTTAGACCTTTTGCGTTTGCTCCAACCAGCTTCATGAAACAGATTCAATCCTGGTTCCAGATTCCAGACGAACCCTGATTCTCCGGTGAGCCTCCTTTATGAAACATCCCTCACCACGCAAACCGATGACTTCAAACCGAGCAGTTTGTTTTAATCCATCAACGAAGCGGAATGAAAACCGCCTCTGTAAAATCCTCTTCTTTGATCTGAAGATGATTTTCCAAACGAGGCAAAGACACACTCACATCACTAAGTTATGTTTCCTTAATCCTGAGCTATAAAGTGCTTCCAAACTTGCAATAGATAATAGAATTTCAACGTAAATGTGATGTAGCCCAATCGTGAAGTGAGAGTAAAAACGTGTGTGAATCCAGCTCTGATGTAAGACCAGTCTGATGCATGATGCTGAAATAAACCGACTCGTGATAAATACGATAGATTTGTGATAAATACAGAAAAATATCTCTCTAAACTTTGACAAATCAATAAGTTGTGAGCCACGTGTGGCTGCTTGAAGAGTCATTGTCTTTGAGATGGAATGTTTCGGCCGACTGAATTAAATCGTCACAGATAGATGTTGTACAAACTGTGTCACTCCACTTATACACAAACAGAAGATTGACACCCTGACAACAACAACGCTTACATCAACGCAAAAAGAAAGGATTGAAAATGAGGAAAAACACACACACAACACACACACACACATACACACACACACACAACACACACACACACACACTTACACAAGTGTTTTTGTGCCGAGTGACTCACCATTAAAAGTGTCTGTTGTGAGACTGTGCTCTAGATCTGCTCTGAGTACTCTTTGTGTGCCCTCAGACCACACACACACACACACACACACACACGCACGCACGCACACATACACACACTATAGCAGAAAGCTGGGAGAGTAAACTGTGATGCGATTACATCTTTTTCAAAGATTGTCTCTTGCTTCTTTTCTTTTTTTTGAAACAGTATGTTTTCAGTATCGATGAGAACTGAAGAGTTGGGTTTGAAACAGCTGAGGTCAGAGGGGATGATTCAGACGGACGGACAGAGGAGTTTCTTTTGTCTGAGCAGCCCCCCCCCCCCCCACACACACAAACACACACACTCTCTCACTCTCTCTCACTGCACCCAGTAAAGCCATATGGTCGTTATGGCGGGTTTTACCACTGCCTTCATCTGACTGTCAGTAACGGTGTGAGCTCTATGTGCACTTTTAACTTGAGAACACCCACATAACGATTTCCTTCACACAAAAAACGACCCCGAATCACTTGAAAGTAAAAAAAAAAAAGAAAGACGTGCAACATCAAGTCTTATTTTTCTGCCAGGTCCCGTTTCCTTTTTCATCACTATACGGAGGACTGATCCCAACACATGAAAGTGCCTCAGTAACGAGGTCAGCGATAAACGATCGGTGTTTCACGACAAACGACAACATTGAAAGTGGCTACAATGCTGCATGGGATACCGCTTCTTTTTTTTTTTCTCCTTTTTTTTTTTCCACAACGTGACAGTTACAGCAGGCAGGGGCTGTGGTTAAGTTCTCCCCCTCTTAACAACGCCTCAGCATTTCAGCGTTTCAGTAAACTCACCATTGCTGATTATCATCAATATTGCACCTTTTTCCACTTTTCCCGAAGCACTGGTTATAAACCAAGAGTCTAAACAATATATTCATTCTCCTCTTTGTCCCTGACAGGTGTCTGTGACCTCAATTTGCATACCAAGGCGTCTCAAAAGCCTCCTACCTTTTAAGCTCAGAGAAATTGTCTGCCATAGAAATATTTATCATAAAATCACTGCAAATCAAGTCACGTCGGGTAATGAGTGTTTGCCTCTCAGTGACCACAAGCTTAAAAAATCTGGAAACTACTCCAGGACCGAGGTAAAGATTTGACCGAACCACTCGACTGATTTGTCGGTCAAAACTTACAGTTGTTTCTTTTCCTTTCTCTAAAGTTTTTTTTTTTTTTGCACGTCATACAGAAGCTGTTGAGGTTCACAGGTCAGTGGATTTAGCAGCGATTAATCTACGGACTTCAACTAAGCAATGCTCCAAATTTTTCCATGAAACAAAGATGAATTTGTGTTGTTATCGTTAAGAAAAGACTCGACCCGACCAAATCATGCCACTGCACAGCATATGTTACTTCCGTGTAAAAATAGAGACAAAGTACTGACACTAACTCACTGATATTTAACTATTCATTTCAAAAAAATCTACACAAACGAGCCAATGTGGCGTCATGGTCACAGCTAGTTTAACACCTCTGGTACTCACTGTGTACCAATGCAGATTTTTTATTTTTTCACATAGATCATCGCTTCCTGAGACAAATGGAGGTTGAGGTGGTAAAAGGAACTGAATGGGATGGATGGCTACAGATAAGAGGGCACTAAGGTCAAAGTGAACCAAATGCATAAATAAACATTTTTCAGCCTGTGATATGTTCTGGCCTGTCCGAATACAGAGACGTGTGGGAGAAAAGTAAAGGTGCCATACCTACAGGACCCACCGTGTGCTGCAGCATCACTCGTCTACATTTGTGTCTTTGTATATGAAAGTCTGCCCAAACATGTGAGACTCAGAGCGGCGGAGATGGACAGGCGAGGGGAGGGTCTTGGCACGGTTTGGCTCATACTCAGTTCTGCTGCAGGATCAGGTTTTCCAGCTCGTCTGCTGAGCGGAGGAGGAAGGCTGCGGACTCCCGGTAGCCGGCGATGAGCTGCCTCACCGCCGTGACCTCCGGAGGGCTGAGCTGGGCCGAAGCTCCGCCTCCGCCACCACCCTGACCATGACTGTTGGAGCTGGAGGAGGAGTTTGGGCCGACGGACTTCATACTCAGATCTGTGGGACCTGTGGACACAAAACACAAGTCGTTTTCAGACATGAACAAGTTGACATCTTCATCTTCTACGTGTATGGATGACTCCTCTTTCTCATCTGGAGATATTTGTATTCTTTTTATTTCAGTTTTGTGTCTGTCGTGTGTTAGAAAAGTCTGGACGTGTACAAGCTCCTCACCATTGGTCTGTGCAGCTCCAGAGTTCTGCTGGTTGCTGCCGACCGTCCCGTATCCTCGCAGGTTGTAGTTGAGGCCTCCGTTGGTGTAGAGCTGGTCCTGGGCGAAAGCTGCGCTGGAAATGGAAAACGCTGTCGGGGCCACAGGGGCCGAGTCCCTCGAGTTGGACTTGTCACCGGAGGCTGGCTCATCCTACGAGACATTAGATAGTTTGAATGCAGAGCAGAATATTGGGGTTTATGTTGTGCAGTTGCAAACTCAATGATATGTTTCCATCTGTGTTTGTGTGTTAGTCAGAAGGTTTACGCTTTGTGGAGGGGTGGAGGATAACCCAAGGAACAACCCGTTAAATTTTAGACTGGATCCGGATAAATGGGCAGATCCAGGATTGTTTTCTACTTTCTTTAACATGGCGAGATGGGCTTTATCCTTGGCGAAGGCATGTTCTCTCTGAGTGCCCTTCTAGTTTTAAAAAATCATGTTGGAAAAGGCTCAACCAACCTGTTATAAAATCCTGTCTCTGAAACTTGATTTTTATATTTTATTGAGTCTCATCATACACCCTATTTTTTGCTGCCACTCTATTTGTATTTTCAATTTGCCAATGCCGCCACTGGACTCAATCTTTTCCCTCAGACCTTCGTGTGGCTCAGAAATGGCTGCTGATGGTCCCTCGATAGCAACGTTTGCAATCTCTATTTTTCACAGATCACCACCTCGGTTCAGAAAGCTCCATCTTTGGAGCTTCTCTGGGACTGTGGCCGGCGGGTCAGATTGATATGGCTCAGGACCACGATGGTGCTCCACCACACTAATGAAGGCTTCAGGGGATTCTGGAGAGCTCCACCTCTACACAGCCCTCTGGCAGAGGTGCCTTGTGATTCTGTGCTGCTCCAGATTTCTCTCTGGTCTGAGAATATAACCGAGCAACTCCCGCCTCACATTTCCATCCCCCTCTCTCAGCTCCCTGCCCAATTCTGTTTTGTTTTTTTAGCATTTTTCAAAATTATGAACTGGGCGGAGTAGAGCTCGGAGCTGGGGGGGGGGGGTGAAGTTATGCTTTAATGATCCATGGCCATTCCAGTGCATTCCCAAATCCCTGCTGGGCAGATTCACAAACACCAACTGCCACGACATTTACCGTCGCCTGGTAGACATCGAGCCGCATCCTCTTGGCAGCATTTCGGGTTTCGCTCTCACAGGCAGCGGCGAGGATGTTCTCAGCCATGGCAGAGGTGAGGTGAGGAGGTGTTGGTCGGATCTGGCAGCAGGAGGCAGTGAGATTTTTGCACTTTATAAATGTCACTGATTTCAGAGTGTGTTTTTCATTCATACAGACAATATTTTATATGGGGGGGGGGGTTTGTACCTCAAAACCGCCTTTTTTCATTCGGCGACAGGATTTGAGGTAGGTGCGGATGCGCTTGCGGGAGCGCTCCTGGAACTCTGGGAACTGTCGGCTGCAGGACTCGATGATGGCCTGGATCTTCTCCTTGGGCTGTTTGGAGATGGGAACCATCCGATCCAAGTTCTCGTCCACAAACAGACGCACAAACATCTGACAGAGACAGAGAGCGGGGGGGAGGGGGAAGAGGAGAGGATGTAGAGCAGAAAAATGGAGTGGGGGTGCAGGGTGGGGAGAGAGGGGTGTGAGAGTTGAAAACAAAAGAGAGGAAAGGAAAGGCAGGGGATGGGGGAGCATTAGAGGTAGAGAGGATAAAGAGGGAGGGGGAGGTGATGAAAACAGGAGCCGTGAAAATGGAGTCACTGCTCATACGCAGGACGATATTTCTACTCCCAGCTTATTCACTCATGGCTGCATTTTTTAAACTCACATGCTCCTATATTTCCATTAGACTGAAAAAAAAATATTTGTTTTCAGAGAATAAACTGAATATTTGACGACACTGACTTTGGATGAGAGTTTTTTTTTTCTCATCTTTAATATTTATATGTATAATATCTCCACATAAACACTGTAATTCAAGAAGAGGGCAGAGCCACAGAGATCAGACAAGTACTGAGTTGTAGTCACTGTGTATAAATGTAATTATACTACATCAGTGAGACAGGATACTTACATTGAAAGCTTTAAGTCTCTCAGGGTCCATACCCTCAGCATCATTAATCTTGTCGCTGTCATCGTGGTCGTCATGATCATCGTCGTCATCATCGATTATCTGTGCCCGGCCAGAGGTCAAGTCCTCAGCACTCATGCTCAGTTCAGTCTTCACGGAGTCATAGCTTCCTGAGCTGTACGGAGGAGACTGGAAAGACCCAGAGTCAAACAAAAATATTCTTATTATACAGACCATTTGCTTTTAGACGAGCAACAAGGAAATCTGTGTATTTGCGATCATCAATTATCAGATCACGTTTGTGCACTCACCTTGTTGGTGTACTCTGTTTTGACGGGGTACTTCCTGTTGGGGTCTGCGGAGTAGGGGTTTGTCGGCGAGCACCCCACAGGCAGCAGGCTGTCGCTCAGATTGACCGGCTGCTGATCCTCTGAGGAGGAAGAGGACGAGGTGGTGCTGAAGTCAAGGGGAGCGCTCAGACCGTTCTCCGTCACCTCCCCATAAGGGGCCCCACCATCTGGGGGGTTCCCACCCGCAGCCAGCACCTCCGGGGAGGTCAGGGCCGGCAGCCCGTTGGCACTGCCGCTCTCCGAGGAGTCGTCATCTGGCAGAGGGGAGGGAACAGGAGGACGGGGTGCAGACGCAGATATGCGGATGAGTGAATGTTTGTCATGAGCAGCATTTAGCATTAATGTGGGTTTGTTTACTACAAACAGCACTATTTCTACCGTGGGTGGTGACTGAGTGGGTGTGTTCCCACAGGGGGAGGAAACTTAGAGCCTCGTGTTGTGCTTTATGGAACTGTAATGGAAGTGGGTATTGGGGTCAACTGTCAGGATAAATAAAAGTTGGAGTAAAAAGAGGAGAATCTGAGGAGTTCTAAAGGCAAACAGAGAAAGAAATGGGGGTGAGGAGGGACTGGTGGGGGGAAGGGAGCCTTCACTCCCTGGTGTGTGCAAATTATAGCTTTTTAACCCAGTTTATTACCATGCACTGATTTCACATGATCATCTCTACGTGTGTCATGTGCACACCTCTGTTCACTGAAACACAGTAATTCGCTTTTAACGATTTGCCCCATTTCCCGTCTTTTCCATCGTGGTGTGTAATCTGTGAAGGTTAATATCGGCCTTTGTCCTACTTCTCTAAGCCCAGAACCCTGAGAGAGAGGGGTGCACAAAGGATTGGGGCTGCGGTGGTGTCCCACCCCCTGTAAGAGTGGATTTATTTGGATTAGTCCACTAAGAACAAGGCAAGCTGTTTACTGCCCCACGTTATACCTGTTTTAACGAGGATACCTTCAGGTTCCAGATGTAGATAAAATGTTGAAAAAAAGCTAATACAAATTGTGCAGTTACTCAAGTCTTACCATCCTCCTCTTTAATGGTGGCTGCTGGGTTGCTGACTCGCTCTCCGTTGGGGGGACTGGGCTCAGGCACTGGGGGCTGCTCCGCTGCGACCCATGCAGACTCAGTGCCGTTCATGTCCTCGCTGCTCACCGAACTGTCATCCTGAGGAGAGACGGGGAAAGAGGAGCAGAGCAATTGAAGTTTGTGCTCCAGTGAGTGTCATTCTAGTTCCTGTTGTGATGACTGAAAAATAAATCCCTTACTTCAGCAATTTCAGTGTAAGTGATAAGAGGAAACACACATTTATTTGAAATTCATGGATTTTGTGGACATATATGTCTACATATTGAAATTCCTTTAGAGTCTGACCACAGTATTTTTTTATTTGGCTCTTAATAAAACATGCTGAACTCCGGCAGCAGCCTTTTCTTGGAGCACTTCTATTTATAACAGTGTTACGTAGAGACCTTAAAGATGCTTGCTGTAGCGTAACACAAATATGAGTGAACCACGGGGGTAAGGATTAGCAAAGGAGAGCGGAATAATCTCACAAACTATTCAGAGGCCGTGCTAAGCTTCACAGAGACCCGATGTATACGTTAAGCTAACATATATGGCGACTTCTCTTTGGCCTCCGTGCCGCACGCCGTCATGTGTCAGCTGGCATCTTAGTCACAGGAGGCAAGACTACGAGTATGTGACGGAGCAGAGCAGAATTACATCTCATTCCTCCACACACGAGCACACAAATAGGCCTAAACTCCTGGGAATATGCATCCGTCCCTCTGTAAGGGGTTTGAGGAAGACCAAAATGCTCAGTGACAGCTCTATTAGGTACCAAGTGAGCCATGTTGCATTAAAGAGGGAGAGAGAGACACACACATATGTGAGTGTGTCTCTAATTACAGTTTGTAAGTAGGTGGAAATGTCTACACTTCAAGAAGAGAAATAATTGATGGAATAGACACAATAGGAAGATATACTTTTAAAACCGAGACCTTAATGTGTACACAGTTTACCAAGAATTAAGGCGAAGATTAAAATCAAATTTAGTGTCTGACTATGAAGGCGATAATAATAATAAACTTTATTTGAATAGCACCTTTCACATAAGAAATGCAGGTCGAAGTGATTTACATCTAATATAAACACAAATAAAACCATGTAAAAATGTAATTCAAATTAGATGAGGTTTTAAGAGACATACGAAACCTAAACGTGTCACTTTGGACTGTAGGAAATACTTTAACACTGTTCGATGATACTGTGTGGACTGAGGATCATTAGTTTCAGTCCAGTCATGGTGGTGTTTCTACATCTATGCCTGTATCCAACCTAAGGGACCAAAATAATAGTAAAAAAAAGTTCAGCAAAACAATATGCAAACAGATTTCATGTGCTTTTGTAAACAGAGCGAACGTGCGACACTGATGAACCAACTGCTGCTTTGAACTATAACAAGGAGCAGCTCAGATATGGAACAAATCACGACAACGTTGAACTAACCCCAGCTCACGGTTCATTATTAAATTATTGGTACTTTCATTCTCAGCCTGCACCCACACACACACACACACACACAGAGACACACACACACACACACGGATGCGACAAACTGAGGAGCATTTGTTAATTTGTACTCACCCGCGAATCACAGCCTGGGTCATTGTTCCGGATAATCCTAATTATGCGTCAGTGAAGTCTACATTATCATCATCGAGCAGCGCTCCCTGCACTTTAGTGACAGGGGTTTCTGAGTGTTTGTGTCACAGCTACACATGGGAGTGGTCTCACACATGACGTCACTACATCTACTGAAGCTTCACTAATACACATTGGACACTGATCTCCTCCTACCCAGCAGGAGGACTGGTTAAAAAAGTTAAGGACAGGACAACCCTCCCTACAGCCTCAAGGATACAACTTAAAGGACGATAAGAAGAAGACTTGTGCAGCTAACACAGTCATAGTGAATAAGGAGATATCAACAGGGGAAGACTCAAGACCCCGACTGATAAAGGGGCCGATGTGATACTGGTGCTAGGGAGTAATACATTTTCAATACTGACATATCAACCAATGTACACATTTAAAAAAAAAAAAAAAAAGTTTTTGTCATGATTTCTATTATCAAACACTTATGATAAAGTTATTTAATTGAAGTTTGATCATTTATGGTTTAACCATAAACTTTATTATAAATAACAATAAATTTAAAGAAAACACAAATTCAACCAAATATATAAAGTGAAAATAAACATGTTATGGAGAGGGGGTTTTGTGTTTTGTTTCTTTTCTTGTTATGTGTAATGCTGTGATTGTTATCCCGTCGTGGACACACTGAGGCAAACTCCAAACAACTGAGTTGTGTGGCAATCTTGAATTTTGAATCTCGTCAGCATTTTTTATCATGTAAAAATAATAGTTTTCATATCAGCGCATATCAACAAACATCAACGCAGGTTGACCAAACGACAGGTTGGACTGGGTTTAGCAGATTCTTCTAATTAATCCATCAGGACACTTTGTCTTTATGCTCATGCTTCATAAACATTCATTGTCCACTTGCAGAAAAAGACACTCACCCTTTCAGTGGCAGTCATGCACTGCAGTTTCATTTGTTTCAGGTAGGTGGCAGTAAGAGGCATGTTGTAATCAATGAGGTCCGGGACCAGTGAGGCTGGTCTGTCATTTTCTGACAAAAGGAAAAACACAGAAAACCCACAGAGATTATAAAAACAGTCCTCTGAGACACAAATGTATGAAAAATTAAGATGGTTTCAAATCAAATCAAGTTAAAAAATCTTTTAGATACTTATTGTGACCAGCTATTACCACTTAATCATACATAATAATGAACCATTAATATTATACTGAAACAATGCTGAGGGCCATAATTCATAATTGGACGTTTTAACTTTCATATTTCAAGTATAATTTGTTTCTGCTACTTTTAATGAAGTGTTTAATGCAGGGCTTGTACTTGGAATTGTATATTTATTATACATTTAATTGAGTCAATTATTTGATGAACGCAATGTTAAAAACTGTAAGACTATATTTGTGAATTTGTGAGAAAAAATATCAAACTCTTTTCACATTATACACCTGAAGCATATTCTCAAAAACTAACTGTGTCACATTAATGTCAACAGAAACTGAACATGAATAATTAACATAGCTTTATGGTTATGGCAGTTTCATTTGCACAGTATTAAACTGTACAGGTTTCGCTACACAGTTGACCCCAACTCTCCCCTGAGACGAAATCAACACAACTGTGCCACCCCCTCACTTCTAAACCTTTAATTAGCTCCAGTACAACTATGCTAAATGAGCTATTATCAATCCCTGTTTGCAGTGCACCCATGGATGTGTACTCACATCACGGGAATACTTTAAAACTGACAAAAACTAAAACAAATGAAGAATATCAAGCGAGTTCTGCAGTTTCTGTGAGAAGTGTCTTTTTTATATTCACAATAGACATCAGTGATAATTTGATCCTTTGAAAGTCACATCAAATCAAAAAATGTGTCGTGTGTGTGTGTTCTGATATGAAAGACATGGCTGTCCCTCAGCTCTCACAGTTTGAAAATCTCTGCTCTTCACTAACTCTAAAAAGATTTGGAATCAAACTGGAGACTTTCTATCTTTTTTTTGTGGCTTTCCATCTTCACTGAACCCGTCTGTAAGGAAATTCTGAGCTATTGGCGTAAACAAACCCTTTGAGCGGTGCAGACTTTGCTGCAACATCCTGCAAAAACACTGAAATCCAGGTTGAAACACACATGGATTTGAACAATGTGGTTGAAAGCTGAATGCAGTCTCCACACCAGGCACTAGAGGGACTCTGTGATCATATAGCAGATCTGAACAATCCCAGAGATCCTGGTCCTCTTGAGTCTTTGTTACATCATGTGGGTGATGGATACACACAATATGGTTTATTAATGATGGTTTGATTCAGAAAAAAAAAGTTCACATTCAATGTTTGATGGAGAATTCACCATGTTTGTCCTTCAGCTGCCAACAAACGGAACATCTCTAACAATTCTATGAATCTTTAATAATTTACAACACAGAATAATGTATTAAATAGGCTTATTAAATCTCAGCATGCATCTCAACACAGTAATTAACCCTTTTCCGTGTCAGTGTGTCAAACGGATCTGAGCACTAGCTGCTCTTAAAGGTTGATCTCAAAAATAGCATGCCGGTTAATGATGTCTGCGGAGCGAGCGAGATATCCACAGGTCAGATGTGTGCCATTACCTTTGAACTCTGCAGTGCTGGGGTTGATGTGCATCCTCTTCTGACACTCTCCACAGCTCATTAGGAACCGAGTCACCGCCTCTCTGGGCAGGAAGGCGTAGGTCTCTGCGATCTGTGCCAGGGGAGCGAACACATGACACTGAGTTACGGGAAAATAAAACATGGCTCAGGCTGTGGCCGAGCTCAAACTGTGTGGAGGTGTTTTTTTTTTTTTATTGCGCCACATGCACGTGTGAAAGTTAGGGGTCAGTGATTTTGTGTTGTCTTGACGTGGCATGAGGAGGAATCCTGCCTCTGGGCGATCGCTCTTGCTTCGGGATGGCCTCATTCTAGTTCCAGACCTCTGCACATTTCTGCTTTGGTGCTTTAAAACACAAGTGGTGTTCATCTTTTCCGTTTTCATTTCCCTCCATGCTCTCTCAGGTGCAGTTGACTCATATCTACACCTCTTTCTCTCCCTCTCTCATGCTCAGCCTTCCTTCTCTGTTTGTCTCCGCTGATATGCCACCCTCCCATCCTCACCCCCTCTGGCGTTTCCCTGTAAAATGCGACCTTCACGTGACCATGGAGAGGCAGCAGGGGTGCCCACCCCCACCGGCCCACCACCGCCACTGCCACTGCCACAGCTCCCCCATCCCCTTTGCCCCCACCCCTCACGGCCCCTTGAGGCAGCTGAGAGGGAAAGGCCACCCAGAGGAGCGTGCACCTCCCAGAAGGCCACAGTGACAGTTCCATATTATGCCCTGCCCCAGTGATGCTGCCTCCTCAAAAGGGTACACACTATGAGACGTGACAGGACCTCTCTACAGGGCAGGAGGAATTGGCTCTATGACTATTTTTCAATTCTGGGGGGAGGGAGGAGAAGAGGAGTACCAATGTCCTGCTAAACCCCCCTCAACACTGCCACCCTACATAGACACACACAAAGCCTCTCAGTTTGTCAGGACACCACACCCGACCCGAGAACACACCTCGGTTTGCCTCATTAACTAACAGACTGTGTTTCCTCAACAAACATCAATAGACTCCAAACTAAATCTGTGGTTTAAGTGCTTTGTTTTCCTGGTAGATGTGGTTGATTGTTCCAGAGTCCTGATGCTAAGAAGTAAACATTATTTTATCAGAGATGTCTTTTACAAAGTTGGTTTAAGTTTAGACCCCGGGACTTTACTCTGGTTCAAATGTTTTCAAATAACTGGGTTTCTTTAAAACCTCTTTTTCCGATGTTGTCTTCAGCAAACTGTAGTAAACTGTAGTAAATCTGCAAGCTCCCTCAATAATGTTTTTACTGATCATCAGGTAAATGTCACATAAATAATACCTGCTAATCATACAGATAGATGAGATGGATTCTGAATCGCCACCTGGTGGCTGGCTGCAGTATAGGTCATAAGTTCCACACCTTGTATGTAAATGGTTGGGGAGATGGACCAAACAAAAAAGTAAAAGTACATGTTAAATGTATGTTCATGTCGTTATATGGTTTTAATTAGTTTATTTATGCTATAAAAATTGGGTTAACATCATGATTGACAGGTGAGACTGGCTTGTGACTGATCGCTACCGTGCAGACTCTAGCACCAAGAGTGCAAGATGGCAGAGTTATATATTCCTGTTTTACATCATCCATCCTGCTAATCATCAACAATGGCATTGGTACTATGGGCATATTAGTTGTCTGGTGTAAGCATGTAGGCCAGAGCAGCTTGCATGGAGCAGTGTTAATGTTGTGTACAGTACATCAGTGAAGTGTACTCTGTTTTTATTCACATCCATCTTTTCCTGACAAAAAAAGGAGCTTTTGGGAGCTTTACATGTTTCATGTGCAGCCCTCTCCTCCTCCTTCCTCAGCACATGTGGGATTTGGATGTGCACAACATCCACCTGCTTTGCTTTTGTCACTTTTTCCCACTAGCTGCCCGTGGTGTTGATGTGGACAGAGGCAGGAACAAGAGGGAATACAATGTGTTTTCTGTTAGCATCACTGTCAGTGAGGAGCTACACTGGGAGCTACCTGGTTGTGTTTACTCACCGCTTTGTAGGTTTTCTTCTGGCCCGCGTGTTTGGGTGCTCTGCCAGGGTCAGCACCCATCTCCACATGCATGGCATAGATGATGTCAAAGAAGTCTTCAACCACAGCCACACGCTTCAGGGAGGAGTTGTCTTGGGCTGAATTACCGTCCGAACACTGAAACATAACAAAGAGTTAGGTTTAGCTCTATGTCCCACCTCAGGATTACAGAACTGACGTGTGTGTACCATCTACAGTGTTTGATATTACTGGTGCAAACACAGATTCCTGCATTCACGTGACGTGAGCTGGATCTTTAAGGCAAATGAGTCATGGGGGTCATGTGGTAACAGAGAGCAGTGAAAACGACATGAAACTACCTGTTCTGTCCTGCTGTCGTTCAGTCTTTAAATTAGAAGTGGAGTCTCGGCCCCGTGTGGGTCGGCAACCATCACCTAATCTCTGCCATGTTTAAAAATAACATCAACGACACTGTACAAGACCAACAGTCCCTCCTACCACCACCTCTGGCAGCCATTCTGCCTCCCGTACTGCTGACCCTGTCACCATAGAAACTACTGCTGATTTCTCTCGGGCAGGTGTGCTGGGCAAAGGGTCATGTGACACACCATAGAAGTGGGATCGCCAGGACAACAGCCTCCATCCGCTACACCACAAGGGGCTTCCCTCTCCTTTCTACCATCATCTCCTTCTCTAACTAACTCTTCCCTGCACCTGCTGATATGTTTTAACAGAAAATGCCCCAGCAAGCATGAAATGGAAGAAAAGGATTTGAGGTCTTAATAAGGTTTTTATTTCCCAGTTTCAAAGTCCACCTCCTCTACGCAGATATGAGACACGCTTTGACATTTTCTGGAGATTGGGTTCTAGGTGCGGAGTGATCTTTTAATGTTTGTGTGAGAGGAGGGTCCCGAGTTCAAAAAGTTGTCCCCCTGGCATTGAGGAATCACACTTTTTTCCCTGATCTCTCCTTGACATTTCTGCACAGTTCCTGATATCTGACATTTCATTTTTTCGTTTTTTCCCCCAATTGCGTCCTCTCTCCTGCTTCCATGTCTCCATCCCCTTCCTCCGTCCCTTCTTTCTTTCTTTCTCCCCCCCCCCCCCCCCNGGCTTGAAATCATTCCGACATAATCTTTTTTTCCACATGTATTCCATCACTCTCTTTCACCATCCCTCTCCCTCGCATTTTTCTTTCCTCTTACGGCAGTTGGAATAGTCTATTATTTGTACATTACTCTCCCCCCCCCCTCCTCCTCTTCCTTCTCCTTGCTCCTGCTCTCCCAAGTGCGAGGTAATGATCGTTGCCATGGCAACTAAAACCAGCTCACAGAGCGGGTTTGTTTTAATCCGGCCCTCTCTCTCTCCCTCACTCTCTCCAGCCACTCTCCCCTGTCAACATGGGCTAAATGTAATGATAATAAATGAAATAATAGCGATCCTCCACCTCATCATCACAGCTGTAATCTATCGCAGTATCATCATCATTCCCCGGCTGACATCACCACCGCCGCCGCCGCCACCGCCGCTGCTTGGGACAATGGTGTCAGGTCCATTCACACTGGATTTAGATAATCTCATACAACTGTGGGGTGTGCAGTGCACCCACACGGCTGCTGCATCCTCCGCTGAATTCTACCCCAACAAAACCTCCAACATACACTGTGAGTATTCTGCAGAGGATTTTTTCTCTGACCTGGAATCCCACTGCCCAAAAAAAATAAACATATAAATTACAACACAAACTTGGCAGAATCAAAACTTGTAATGTTTTTGTCCAGGGTTGCAACTTTACATAATTTTCTCAATTAATTGATCAATCGTTTGGTCCAAGGAATTCCAATCAATAGATTTTAGTTATTTAAACAGCCTAATATCACAAATCTGCTGCAGGGGACTTTATTCTGATAAAGTAAAACTCCCCCAAAAATATAATACGTAACAATTCTTCATTAAAATGTCTAAAATGTTTTAGACTTTGTTTACTTAGGTACTTATATTATCTATGTATTATCATCATAATGATTCCAACAATGTGACACTAACTTACATACTGAGCGAACAAGGGGCCGAATAAAATGATCATGAGGAGTTGAGTGAACTTTGACCCTCGATATTTGCTTTGTGATGATACTGCTTGTTGTAGGTTAAAGGTTTAGTGCGTAAGATTTAGTGAAATCCTGTAATAAAGTTGTATATTGCATCTCACTGAATACCTTTTGTCTCACACTCCATTTGCGAGCACGTAGGAGAATCTATTGTGGCCTTCCGGAAACGTAAGAAGGCAGAAGGCCTCCTCTGAATCCAGTGTTTGCTCTGTGTTGTGAGCTACTGTAGAAACATGGATTCTGTGGAAGAGGAAACGCTCCTGATGTAGATATAAAAGGCTCAAAACGACTCTTGGTTTCAGCTGATTACACGCTTAAGAAAACATAATTCTAAATATTACATTCACAAATAGTTTCTTCTAAATCCTACATACTGGACTTTGCAGACCCTGCAGAGCATGACTGTGTTTCTTCCATTAGCCACACATCAGTCCTGCTACCTAAAGGCCTCCTCGGGCTCCCCTGCAAAGATAAGCTCTAGTTTCCAAACACAAGCCGACGGGGAGTTAAACATTCACCTCTAAACACAACGCGCTGTGTGTTTGCGTGTGCATGTGTGTTTAAGTACGGTACATGTCTACCGGGCGGAGTTTGTAGATGAAGCATCTCAGAGGAGAACAGCTGTTGAATAGTGCTGTTGATATTCGGTCTCATCAGCAGCATGCCGTTTTAAAGAGCAAAGGAGACATGTCAGCATCACTAATCGCCAACAACACTGCAAAACTCTCGCTCTCCGTCTCCTCCTTTCCTCCTTCTCTCCATCTTTCTAATCCTGTAGGACTTTGCTCTCCCCAGCCACTGTACAACCAGCCCCCATCCCCTCTGCGCGCTCTCCCTGTCCCGCACCAAACCGCTCTGTTGCTAGGAGACTGGAGGGGTTGAGTCGACTGCCCCCACCCCCGCTGGCAGTCATACACAGACACACACACACAGACACACACACACACACACACACAGGGAGTCGCTAAAGGGGAGAGAGGAGCCGTCCTGCACACAGGCAGGTCAGGAGGAGGAAGAGGAGGAGGAAGAGGAGGAGGAGGAGGAGGAGGAGGAGGAAGATGAGGGGATGGGTGGGGGTTCACAGGAAGCAGCTGGGTCACAAAGACAGGCCGGCAAAGACAGAGGAAGAGATGCAGCACACAAGAAATTAGATCCATGGATGAACGGATAAACATGAGTGGGACATGCAAAAATCTAAAACATATATATGTTAAATATGGGTCTGAACTTGTACAATCAAACATAGGTACTTTCTGTGTGTGTGTGTGTGTGTGTGTACCAAGATGGCTGTGTCAACAGTACTCATGACTCAGATTATCTCACTGCAGATGTGACAACAGGTCATCTTTTAAAGCCCCATCTTCCCCCGTAAATCTATCAACTGGCTAATGGACACATAAATAGGACAACCCTTGTTTGTGTGTGTGTGTGTGTGTGTGTGTGTGTGTGTGTGTGTGTGTGTGTGTTTGTCTGTGTGCACCAAGGGGACGACAGTGCAGACGACAGTACTGAAGATTTAAAAAACTGTGATTAAAAGAGGCTTTTTTGTTCTGCTACACCCGTCCCCTTACATTTCTTTTCCTTTCACCATCATCTTTTCTTCTCTGCCTCAATTCATATAAAGCCCCATCATTAAATCCACATTAGGTGCACCTAGCTCTGCCCCTCTGTCCGACATCTGTGTGCTTCTCTATCTGCTGCCCCCATGATGAACATTATTTGATAGAGTGTGTGACATCCACAATATCCCACAGAGCCGGAGACACAGACGGTCCCACTGGCCCTGCAGACTGACACTGTTGACGTTCCAGTCACTGACTAAAGTGGTATGTAAATGACTTGCACATACATCATCACATCCCAGGGTCCATTTTGTCAATTTTAGGCTATTAACTCACTGTCCCAGTTTGTAAAATGTTGGCCTTGCAAAGGTATTAAAAGTGACAGTAGCGGTGTGGTAGGATGATTATTGCCTTCTTAAAGACTCCCTCTCTCTCTTTCTGTGTGTGTGTGTGTGTGTGTGTGTGTGTGTGTGTGTGTGTGTGTGTGTGTGTGCACGTGTGGAGCAGAACTCAGACTATCTCCCACACAGGGGGGAGGCCCCCGGGCCAGTTAAAAATGGTGTTAATTTCTCCTCCTATGGGAAAGCAAAGAACGGTCTCTCCATGGCAACAGAGAGGGTGCTGAAGGGAGGAAACACAGAGCATGCGATCAGCAACCCCCTCTTTGTACCAGCACACATCCTCGTCCAAACTACCACATATGTGCACCATGGATTTCGTCACCCCACATCTGAAATGAACGCATATTGGCATAAACTCAGTGCATCTCAGTTTGTCTCTCGTCTAACAAAGAAATGTCCTGCGCACTCAAGCCAACACCTCTCCACCTTTAGCAGCTCAAATAAAAAAAAACCCCTGATGAAACCAAGTCACTCGGCATCACACATGAACAGGTAATTTCTCCGTTGCTCTGGTGACGAATGTGATAAGAAGGGGCCGGTGATTCCTGTCCGGGGTGGTGATCGTTTGCTGTTTGAACCTGTGAGCACGAGTCCATGTGTTGCCCCTCATAAGCAGAGCCAGAGAGAGAGAGAGAGACGAAACAACAAAAGGACTGACAAAAGCACTGGAGATTCACTATGCAGAAATAGCATTAATGCAAATGCTGTTGAATAATAGGGGATAGTATTCTTTTGACTCTGTGGCCCCTCCACAAAAGATGAGCTCTCTGGGGAAATGTGGACTAATTAATCAGATAATAATGATGATGTTCCTCTTCCTAGTCGACGGTGAGGCAAGAAATAACATTTAGGGCCCATTTTACAAAATGCAGATTAGAAGGTGTCTATGATTTCTACATGAGGGGAGGACGTCCCAAGAAAGACCTTTGATAGCATTATTGAATCCTCTGAGGCTAACCCTGAAAAACCTTTTTCTGTGACACTAATGTCCAAATCTATCTTGTCCCGTCAGTGCAAAGGCTTCAAATCCTTCAATTAATTCGCCATTTATTTCCTGATTAATGAATTTACCACTTTTGTTTATAAAATTCCAGAAAATATTCCAAAAATGCTGAATATTAACTCCAATCCCAATGACGTCTTTAAATTGATACAAATCTTACTAAGACAAAGAAAAACAGCTAAATCAGAGAATGTTTAAATTATTGTTGAGAAAATGGTAAATTTATTGATTAACTGATCAGAAAATATTTTTTAAGACTTAATCTATGGTTCAATAACATCTCAGACTGTACAGTTCATATTTTCTTACGCGCCTAGTCTATAAAAAGTCTTGACTGGAATGTCGGACAAGTCTTGAGAAACTGTGATGGACATTTTCATTGTTTCCTGGCATTTTATTTGACAGATTAATCAATGGACAGTTGTAAGGTGCAGCCCTCCTTGCCAATTAATTTAATCTTCTCAGTTTTAGGACACTTCTCTGGCCGTTTTGGACTAATTGTACAAGTTAGGTGATAAAGGTGACACTGATGTCTGGGTTGATAATTTGTGGCAGCGCATTCAGAGAACATGATGTGTGCACACAAACATTTTCTGTCTATATACTGTGTGAGTGTGAATGAGAGACCATGTCCACCAAATCCTAGTTGAGATAAATGTACAGAGATATTTACAGATTTCTGTTGGCATGGCAACTAAGAGCAACAGCACGCAGTATTTCAAAATTTCCAGTTTAAGCATCTCTTTTGAAACTGGCTGCACTCTGACTCTCTCTGTCTCGGGAAGTGCTCCTGCTTATGTGGTGCTCAATTCTGTGGTGCATCTCCGTGTCTGTTTCTGGTCCTGTACCCCTCCTCCTCTGTAGCGTCCTCTAATCAGGACATAATGAGAGCCAAACGAGGTTGTATCTCCACTCGTAGGGCTGCTGGATTCTCTGAGCAAGGCGAGGGCCCTGAGTCGTGCGGAAAGAGGGCGAGATGACATGGGAAGGAGGGACAGAGACGGACAGAAAACACAGAAAGGAAATCATTCTGTGCACGGCTTGAAAAGAGGCATCGACACTGAGTCTGTGCTACTGTGCCCGCTCCCTCTGTCCTGCCACATGACTGAAGCCTCCTTGTCTGCTTCACTGACACACAGAAGAGACCTTCTCTGTCTGCACATCAGCCACCATCCATCCCTACCCCCACCCAGCCTGCCCCCGTACAGAAACTTGGCACACCCTGGGAGCAGCTGCAGCGGGGGCTTCCAATGCTCAAGCTCCAGAGACACGCCCCCGGCCCTGCAGCCGTAGGAGGAGGCAGTGACCATTGTGTGTATGTGCGTCTGTGTGTTTATACGTCTGATTGTGTGCGCGTCACTTTTCCACCGGCCCAGGACGGCCTATTTATAAAACCCAGGAACGCACGCCGAATCAAGAATCATGCTTTCTAATCCAGTCACATGCATATAAATTGGTTGATTTGTGGCGTCTGACTCATCATTAGAAGCTGCTTGTGTTGGCTGATGTTTTGTTTGTTGTCTAAATTTCCCTGGTGGAGCTGAGTCAAGGGGAGGTTTCCCCCCCTGCCTCACGATATTAGCGACAAAGCATGTTCTCTCAGTGAGCTACACTTCCACTTTCTCTGCCTCTCCAGTGCGATTTAACTTCAGGGAAAGATCTCAGCTCAGCAGATCTTCGGCCTCGCGGAGAAATACACTTGAAATTTTTCATATGGCAAAACTCACTCAGGTGCCGGTTTATTAGGTACACCTAGCTCAAGCGAATGCAGTCTTAACCAACATCCAACATCCATTTCAGTCATTTTACAGGTTATACTTCATGGATCATAATGGAAAAGAAATCTGACATAGATTGGGCATTGACATTTATAAGTGCAATTTGGTGCAGCTGAAATAAAGAAAAGTGTTGGGCCTTGGCAGGACCGATCACAACGAACCTTGGTGGAAGGATGTTGTATATAGATCAGAGAAGAACCCATTGAATTTCCGGATCCAGGAGTTTTCTTCTTCTCACTGTCTTTAACATTCTGAAATAGGGCATTTTATTGTGTTGTTGTTTTTTATGTTTTCTTTGATTTGTCAGAGGAAAACAAGAAAAATTAAATATTTCTGGATTTGATATCTATGAGCAATTTGGTGTGAATCTAGTGAATGTAAATGTGGTTTCATTGGGGGACTGTGGGGCCTTGGCTAAGTATGCGATTTACTGAGTGACCCTCTACTAGAAAATGTTTTGATTCAAAAATACGGTCATTTTTGGAGGCTCCAGTTCGTGGTGTTGTTGAATTGTCGTGTGTTACGTGAACAGGTGGTTTTATTATTTTGTCCACCTTGTTTATATATCGCCTAAAATGACCATGAGTCAGAATCTGAGCCTCTAAAAACATTCACAGAACATCTGACCCTCCATGAAGGAAGGATTTATTGCAGGACAGTTATTACTATATAAACTACATTTGTTTTATCTAGGTGTAATAAATTGCAGAAGAGGACATCAAAGAATTTATGTGAACAAGGAATGACAAGAACCACAGACAAAAGCTAATCACCAACACATTTCAGTCAGCGCCTGCACCTGCGGACACAGATCACACCTGCCCTCTTGCCCAGAGGGAAACATAATATTGAGGAGAGATTACAGGATTTTGAAAAGGTATTTGGCCTAAATCTAAATACTCTCTCACACAGGTTTAACACCTGTGGAGGGCTCCGTGCTATTCATCTGAAATCAAAGGATTTAGTGTCTGATTGGTGCCAATATCTCCTGCAGTTTGCTCACAGAAAACGTGTTTTTGCTCTTTGTGGTCCAGAGAGACTCTGTCCCAGCAGGTCAGGTGTGGATGTGTGTGTGTGGGGAGGGGGCATCGTTCCCTGGAGACGCTTATTTTTAAAATGGTGGTTGTCTCCTTGCTGGCACAGCAGGCCCTAACATCACCATACACGGACATGGGCGCGGAGGGAGCCGCTGGGCCACTGCCTGACACTTCACCGTGCGCATGTTGATCTCCCGTTACAAAAGAGGAGCGTGCGGTTTAACCCTCCGTGCACCTGCAGCCCCGCTCGTGCACGGTGACACGCGACTTCTGCACATCACCCGCAGACATGTGCAGGTGAAGTGTGAGCGCTCACTCCGGGGCGTGTGTCGACATCAGTCCCCTTTTGTTTCCGCCACAACCCCTCACGTGGTCTCCAATTACGCACAGCCGCCTCCCTCTATCACATGCAGAAATTACTATATATAAAAAAAAAATTTAACAGTTGACAAAAATCCGAATGTGTTTCTCTCACAATGACATTCGTCTCGCAGAGCTTCGTGTGGGGATGCACACAAAAGGCTCAGATGCAGCAGAGACAGACTATCCTGGACTACACAGGTGTTGCCAGAGCAACGAGTGCCTGCGATCCGCATCCTGCCCAGGACAATGAGAAGTGCGGTGCAAACACTCACACTGACTGCCATCATGTTTCTCTGGAAAAGAAAACCCCTCATGTGCTGTTTGAGTATTTAGAAAACGCATATTTGCTATTCCTCAAAAGAGGGGGGGGGGGGGGCAATAAATGTTGGCGACGCACGGACACGGTTCGTTTTGCTCGGTTTAGATGGGACAGTGCGGGTGCGCGCGGTTCACTGACAATCACAAGCTGCTGATGTTCAGAAATGTTGGATCTGTCATGTGCTGAGTGGTTCGTCCCTCCATCAGGGGGCACACCGGACTGGAGGCTGTACCCTGACATACCAGACCCGTGCACAGACATGCCGTTGCATCCACGAGCACACACACACACACACACACACACATACATACATACAGCATCGCCACACCGGACAACACGAGACCGTATAACGGCACGGTGTCTCAAACACACAAAATAATACCCTGTTATCTACATGCTTTACACCCTGACAGGACTTCACCCTCACCGGGGACACATGCGATGATGCAGCCCATACCTTTTACAATTTGCGATTGCCAGGAGGCACCGGCGTTGCTATGGCAGCAAGGGATGAGACGTAGGGGCTGTTCTGGTTGGGATGTGGACAAAGTGAATCTTTATCTGGGGAAGACGAGGGCGAGCCGGGACGATAAAACACCACAAGTTTGTCATTTTATTCACATGACAGGCGCATGTGTGTGTATGTGTGTGTGCAGCCTGAAATAATGACAACTTATATAGGCGGCAACGGGACATCTCGTGCACACACATACACACACACACAGAGAGACACACACATGCACACACACACACACACTTTACCGTTGACTTGACCGGCACATATAGGACGGGTTTCCCTGGAGCCCCTTTCTTGTTGTGCTCTCCCAGGACGTTGGTCCCGACCTGAAATCCTTTCGACTTCACCCAAAATTTGAATTTGGCGTTGATGTGGCTGTTGTCGACGTACACGCCGTCCGACTCGTCGCTCTGCAACAGTGTCTGCATGATTTTGTTGTATTTTCGCCGGGTGACGGTCTTTGTTTTACCGGAGTCCCCATAAGTCCGGAGACACCAGTCCTGAAATTCACTGAACATCTCCGCCTCCAACACGACCGGACTCCGGCTCCTCTTGGGCGCATCCACGCACGCCTTTTTCGTTGCCATCGCTCCCCCTCTCGCGCTCTCTCTCTCTCTATCTCTCTGTGTGTGTGTGTGAGCCCGTTCAAACAGCCCTGGCTAATAAAGAAACACACTTGAACGGGTCGGTTTTTTCCTCCTCTGGTCCCCGCTCTGTCCCGCGTCCTGAAGGCTTGGATGTGGTGGTGGTGGTGTTTTTTTGGGGGGGACGGCGCAGCCTCCCGGTGGTTTCCCGGCAGCAGAAGTGACCCGGACAGCAGCACACCTGTTTGCAGAGGAGGAGCAGTGCTGTCCCGACCCGCAGCGGTGAAAAAATGTCACTTCCTCACATCATCCGCTGAGGAGCAGAGAGAGGGGGGCTGTCCTATGCTGAGCGGGTATCTCCCACCTGTGCGTAAAACCCTCTCCACCGACAGAAAGAAAACCACAGTCCTCGCTTAACAACAAAGAACACAGACAAAAGCGTGAAAACAAACGTCGCCTTCAGTTCCTATCGACCTACTTTCTAACAGTCGACACTATTTTCGGATGCTGGGTTGCTCAACCCTTAAAAAAAAAAAAAAAAAAGCGCAAAGATGCTATCAATGTGCTCCTGTTTTGGCCACGTATCCGATCAACATGCGCCACCTGGGATTCTCCCTGCTCCTCACACCTGTTTGAATGGGATTTGCGCCGCTGGCACACTGCTCCTTCTATCCCATAAAACACACTCACATCTGCATTTCACTGGAAACTGGTCCATCTGCAGCAGAGCCCGAGGTGTATAAGTGAAGTGAGAGATGGTAAATGTAGAATTTATTGACAGGGTGTCATGGAAAAACTAAAAACAATTGTTTGCATTTACAGGTGGACTGCAGAAAAATAAAGATATATATTAAATAGTCTGATAA